GGTCCGGTGCCATGGAGCGCTTTAAAGATAATAACCATCACCTTGAAGCGCACCCGGAAGGCCACCGGTAGCCAATGCAGCTCGCGCAGAAGCGGCGTAACGTGGGAGTGACGAGTCCCTCCCAACACCGCCCGCGCGGCCGCATTTTGGACCAACTGGAGCCTCCGGGTGCTCCTCAAGGGAAGCCCCATGTAGAGAGGGAAGCCCCATGTAGCCCCATGCTGATGATGGTGTCCAAGTGGTGCTCCAGTTGTTTTGGGATTGCACCCAAGGCGCCTATTACTATTGGTACTACCCTTGCTTGCCTTTGCCACAGTCTTTCTATTTCTATTTGTAGGTCTTTGTATTCTGTTATCTTCTCCAATTCTTTATCATCTATTCTGCTGTCTCCAGGCACTGCCACATCCACTATCCAGACTTTTTTGTCTTTCTTATCGACAATTGTTAAGTCTGGGGTGTTATGTTGCAGGTGCTTGTCTGTTTGTATGATGATGATGATGATGATGATGATGATGATGATGATGATCATCATCATCATCATCATCATCATCATCGTCGTCGTCATCATCGTCATCATCATCCATGATCTCCATAGAATTTTGCCCAAAGAAGCCAGATAAATTTACCATCATATTCTGGAAAGCAGACACGGAGTTGGACTTTAGTGATTTTTTCTTGGAAGAGGTCTTTCTTATTGAGAAACAGCACAATCGAAGTGCTGGCAAAGCATTCGTGGTTACAGATGCTGCTGAAGAGGTGGAGGCTCTCATGCATTCGATTCTGCCAGAGGGAAAAACAAGGAGGCAGTTAGGTTTTTCCTGTTATTCCTGACTGCTCCTGTGAAGAAAAACAGTTCGGCCGATTAGCTTCTTCCAGCAAAGTGGAAAAAAAAAATTATTATTATTATTATTTATTATTATAATTTAATTTATATACCGCCCTTCTCCCGCAGGACTCAGGGCGGTGCACAGCGTATTAAAAACAGTACAAATACAAAGCATAAAAATACAAACCCCTATAAAATGTTGGTAAAGGTTTTGAGGTAGCCCAGCGCATCCTTTCCACCCAGGTAGCAAATCCCGCTCTCTTTCTCCTTCCGCTTACCACGTCCTCATCTTCCACCAGGACCATGTCATAGGCACTGAGGGCCGCACAGAAGATAATGCAGGTCACTCCTTCAAAGCAGTGGATCCACTTCTTCCTCTCTGATCTCTGTCCGCCCACATCAAACATCCTATGGAATGAAACTGCGGTTAATAAGATGCTCACTGCGTTCCTGGTGTGTGCTGTTAACACATTTCAGAGTGAGGGAGGGAGGGGAGGGAGGGAGGGAGGGAGGGAGGGAAGGCAGGAAGGAAGGACAGGAAAGGGAGGGAGGGAGAAGGGGGAATGAAGAAAGAAAGAAAAAAGAAAGAAAGAAAGAGAAGGGAGAGAGGGAAGGAAGGAAGGAAGAAAGGAAGGAAAGAAAGAAAGAAAGAAAGAAAGAAAGAAAGAAAGAAAGAAAGAAAGAA